CCTGCATCTACCGCTACTGCACCTGCTGCCTTGCACCTGCGTGGTGTACCCCTTCAGGGGGTGTGACTTGCTACTGCTATGCGCTGCAGGCACTTAGGGGGTGTGTCATGATTTACATTTTATATAAATCTATAAGTGCCTGTAGCTGTAGCTGTAGTTTGTTATACTTTCTGTTGGTGGTGCACCCCCAACTCTTGCCTATATCATTGTACCCTTTCTCTTTATTGAACCTCTTTCCTCTCGCTACTCCCAACACCCTCACCTAGCTTCCTAGGTTCTAACGCTATCACGACATCCTCCTCCCTTCGTCCGGCCACCGAGCCTTTTGAGACGCTCCACTTGGACGTCTGGGGCCCCGCCTCTCGCCTTGGCCCTGAGCGTGAGCGTTACTTTCTAATGGTCGTTGACGACTTCTCTCGCTACACCACAATGTTCCCCCTAGCGAAGAAGTCTGAGGTGACTTCTACGCTGATCAGGTGGTTGCTTACCACTGCGGACACTCGTGGTCGTCGTGTCAGCTGTCTCCACTCCGACCGCGGGGGTGAGTTTCGCTCCGGCATTCTCGCTGGATTCTGTCGCGAGCAGGGCATTCGTCAGTCCTGGACGCTTCCAGAGTCCCCACAGCAGAATGGGGTTGCTGAGCGCCGCATAGGCCTGGTCATGGAGATTGCCCGCACCTCCCTGACTCACGCCCGTGCCCCCCATTTTCTGTGGCCCTACGCGGTCAGGTACGCCGCGCACCAGCTGAACCTCTGGCCACGTGTCTCTCGGCCAGAGGCTTCACCGACCAGTCTTTGGACCGGGTCCCCTGGTGTTGCGTCGAGGTTTCGTGTCTGGGGGTGCTTGGCTCTTGTCCGCGACACCTCCGCGGACAAGCTCTCGCCTCGCGCCGTTCCTTGTGTCTTCCTTGGTTTCCCTGAGGACTCCTCTGACTACACCTTTTACCACCCTCCCTCTCACCGGTTCTTTGACTCCCGTGACGTCCGTTTCGAGGAGTCCACCCCCTACTACGTCAGGTACCCCAGTCGAGGTCTCCCGGTTCCTCCTCCCCCTCTCTTCCTGACTTCCGCTCCCCCTCCTGCTCCCCCGGTACAGCCTCCCCCCCTGGTCCAGCCCCGTCAGGTGTGTCCCAGGCTACCCCTCCCCCTTCGGTAGCCCCTCAGGTCCAGCCCCCCTCCCCATAGTCTTCCTCGCAGCGTGCTGCAGACCTTGCGGGAGCCGGTGCTTGTGGAGAGGGCCCTGCAGGTGCTAGCTCTCGAGGGGTTGGTGCTGAGTCTGTTCCTGTACCGGTTTCTGGTTCTGGGGGTGCTGGAGTTGGAGCTGAGCCGGTGGGTGCAGAGGACTCTGTTCTCCCAGGAGCTGGTGCTGGTCGTGCGGAGTCTGGGGGTGAGGGTGACCCCCCTTCGGTTTCTGGTGAGCCTGGGTCTGGAGCTGGTGTTGGTGCTGACTCTGGGGGTGGTGCGCCTGGTGCTTCGGAGGTGGACTCTGGGGCTGCCGCTGCCCCGGACACTACTACTACCCCCCACCCCTACCCGACCAGGTTCCAGGCTCGTGTTCGCCGTGCTCGTGAGGAGCAGCTGGAGTTGGAGCGAGAGGAGCGAGAGTTGCAGCGGCTCGAGGAGCAGGAGCGACAGCAGCAGCAGCAGGAGCAGCAGCAGGAGCAGCAGCAGCAGCAGCAGCAGCAGCAGCAGCAGCAGCAGCAGCAGCAGCAGTCGCCTCCTCCTCCTGTCTCGGGTCTTCGGACCCTTGGTCTCCCCTCTCGCTCTCCTTCCTCCTCCCCCTCTCCTCCCATCTCTGGTCCTCCGCTTCCTCCTCCTGACCCCTCTCCCGCTGTTTTCCCTCGTTCTCAGTCTTCGTTGTCCTCGAGTCCTTCTCAGACTTGGCCCTCTCGTCGCTCTCCTCGTGCTCGTCCCTCGTCTCCTGTTCCCTTCACTGACCTTCGTACTGCCTTACTTCGTTCTAGTCCACCTCGTCCGTCTCCGTCTGTGCTTCCGTCTCCTCCTGAGTCGGCCCTCACTGCGTCGCTCCCTACTCCTGTCACTGACTACTACCGCACGTACCGTCCTGTTCTCTCTCGTGTTCTCGCCTCTCTTGTTACTCACCCTCGTGCCTCTGTGTCCTCTGTGTCCGCTCTTACTGCCGCAGTCACTGAGTTTGCCTCTACTCGCCGCCTTGACTACGCCACCACTCTTGTGGCTGCTCCTCCTACCAGTCCTCTGGCCGTCGGGGGTGTGTCTGCCCTTGGCTGTGACGCCCTAGAGGACAGGCAGTTCGAGCTAGAGTTCCTGGCAGCCGCTTCCCCTCATCTCTGTGCCATGCTCCTCGCCCCTGAGGGTGACCCCGACGCCCTTGACATTCCGACTCCTCGCACTTACGCTGAGGCAGTGTCAGGGCCTTGGGCCTCTCAGTGGAGAGCTGCCATGGACGCAGAGATGGCCTCCTACAGATCCACAGGCACCTACGTCGATGAGGTTCCCCCTCCGGGGGCGAACGTAGTCGACGGCATGTGGATCTACAGGGTGAAGCGGCCACCGGGATCTCCCCCGGTCTTCAAGGCGCGCTACGTGGCTAGAGGTTTCAGTCAGCGCGAGGGAGTTGACTTCTTTCAGACCTTCGCGCCTACCCCGAAGATGACCACTCTTCGGATGTTACTACACGTAGCAGCACAGAGAGACTATGAGTTACACTCTCTCGACTTCTCCACTGCTTTCCTTCAGGGCAGCCTACACGAGGAGGTCTGGCTGCGTCGTCCCTCTGCCTTCACTGGCACCTTCCCTCCTGGGACCCAGTGGAGGCTGAGGCGACCTGTCTACGGTCTTCGCCAGGCCCCTCGTGAGTGGCACGACACTCTGCGTTCTACCCTCTCTGACCTTGGGTTCCAGCCTTCTTCTGCTGACCCGTCGCTGTTCGTTCGTCGTGGTTCCACACCGTTCTTTGTTCTGGTCTACGTCGACGACCTCGTTTTCGCCACTCCTGACAGGGTTGCTTTGGCAGACGTGAAGTCCGAACTGCAGAAGAGACACACGTGCACTGACCTTGGTGAGCTGCGCCACTACCTTGGCCTGCAGATCACCAGGGACAGAGCCGCTCGCACCATTACACTCTCACAGTCACACATGGTGCAGCAGGTCCTTCAGCGGTTCGGGCTTCAGCACTCCACAGTACAGCGCACACCTCTTGCTGTTGACCACAGACTTACTGGTCCTTTTCCTGACGAGCCGTTTGAGCCTAGTGGTCCCTACGCAGAGCTGGTGGGTTGCCTCATGTACCTGATGACTTGTACTCGCCCGGACCTCGCCTTCCCTCTCAGCATCCTTGCGCGCTTTGTTGCGCCAGGGAGACACCGTCCTGTTCACTGGACGGCAGCTGTGAGGGTGGCGAAGTACCTAGCGACTACATCAGGCGTGGGGCTAGTTCTTGGAGGGCAGCAGTCTGTCGTACTCACTGGTCACTGTGACTCCTCTTACGCTGACGACGCTGAGACTCTCAGGTCTACTCAGGGGTACTGCTTCAGTCTTGGTTCTAGACCTGTTTCCTGGCGTTCCACGCGCTCCTCTTCGGTCTCGACCTCTACAGCTGAGGCTGAGATCTACGCTGGTGCCATGGCGGCACAGGAGCTGCGTTGGTTGACTTTCTTGCTCGCCGACCTTGGTGAGCGGCCGAGCTCTGCACCGACCTTGTTCACTGACAACAAGGCGTCGATTCTCCTCTGTCGTGAGCCGCGACTGGAGAGCAGAGTGAAGCACATTCACGTCAGGTACTTTCTTCTGCGAGAGTTGCAGAGACGTGGACAGGCTCGCTTCGAGTTTGTGGAGTCCGAGGCCAACACTGCAGACATCTTCACCAAGGCGCTTCCGCCTTGTGACCACCAGAGGTGTTGTGTGCAGTTAGGCCTTGTTGACACAGGTTCTAGTCGTGTGTAGGCTTGAGTTTACTGTCTGCTTTGCTTGTACTGTTGCTATACATACTTGTGATCTCTTGGACTGGCCTTGTGGCCACTGTTGCTTGTGCTCAGAGAGTGTGGTGACGTTGTGATCCACCCTGAGCTTTGTTTTGTTTTGGACTGGTCTTGTGACCGTACACTTCTGATTTTGCTAGACACCCCTCACTTAGACTATGGGGGTGTGTCAAATGTTGTAGCCTGTAGTGAGGTTTGTCTTAGGGGGTACAGAAGTTAGGGTTTGCCATATGTACCCCAACCAACATCAATGCATCATCCATTCCTCATTCTGATAGTTACGACATTATATAACCTTAACCTTAACCTTTTTTGCCTGTCTGTGCACACGTATACCCAGCTTACTGATAACTTTTAGACTTTTCATTTCTGTAATTTCTGACCAATCCAAATTCCTCAAGCAACCTCTCCTCCAAATTATTCTCATGTGCATAAATAGTGAATAATCGTACCGCGAAGTCTATTTGAATCTAAATCACGGGTGTAGCTGGGAATTGCTAGAAAGATCTTTGGACTCTGAAGCCTCAGAATTGCCCGGTCCGTTGGGCGCGGAGTTTCCACCGTGCCCGCGACGTGATAATCTCGGGGGTTTCTTCGAAGCAGTCCTTGCCCCTCCTACCCGCACCTACGAGATTCTCGCCCTCGCGTCCTTGTATGGCGGAGGACTGCCCCCTCCCCTCCCCTCCCAAGTTGGTTGGGGGCGGGCTTTCAGAAGCATCTGATACTCCGCGGAAAGGATTCCTTTCATCGCTACACTCCGCGCACTTCCGCTTTTGAGGCCACCTGCGCACTCTGGCCTTGTCACGTCCAGGCGCCAGCCAGTGCCCCTCCCTCCCACCCAACCCAACCTCCAGGCCCACCTTTGCCCCTTGTGCTGCTGTTGCCAGCCTGCCAGCGTTCCCAGCAATTAGGTTTCTAATCATCTGCTTCAACACCCGCACTTGCAGGAAGACGGTGGTTTCATTTCTTCAGGTAACACAGTCGACGTGGATAGGATCGTGACCCTGGCTTGCGGTGGTGGTGGAAGATAAAGTAGTAATCCATGGGTCCACGCTCAGATATGCTGAAGACGTCGAGTGTGGGGAGCTTGCACGATGACGATAGCGACGAGGACAGTCGAGTTGTGGAGGAGGACCCATCAGGCAGATACTGTCGAGTACGTGAACTTATCTTATTGAATTCGTATACTTTCTGAATTTCTGATGTTTACGAGGCTTCGTCCTGTGGCTGTGCTTATCGGCTGGCTGCGTAACACCAAACTTTCTTTCTTGCGGTGGATCTTTAGACTAGCCAATCGCTGCAAGTAGGCCACTTCATGTCACTTCGATGCTGGTCGCGTGCGATTTGTCACAAGATAAAGAAGCATTTTCACGGAGTGGCGTTCGAAGCAGTTTTGATATCCGCGGTTATGTTCCATTTGTTATATTCGTCTTTTTCATATCGCTTTCTGTTTTTACATTCAGATTGTCGTATCGTGACATCGTTCGCTGTGCCTCTCATACTCCCTCCGTCCCGCTACAACGGTTCCGCCAGCCAACTTTGCGTTCAGCGATTGGTTGTTTCTCCTCACAGTTTGTTTCCCCCGTGTCGCCCATCTCCTCCCTTTACAACTGTGCTCTTCTCGTCCTCCTCGTGCAGTTCAGCGCTGTTCTGGGAAAAGGCGCCTTCAAGACAGTGTAAGCGGCTCTCCTGCTCCTCCTTCCCACATAGCACTTCGTAGCATGTCTGTCTGTGCGTTCGTCCGTCCTTCCGTCCGTCCTTCCGTCTGTCTTTTGTCTGCCGCGCCCGCTAATCCCTCACTCGCCTGGCTCTTCGTCCCCGCGTTACTTCACTTAACGAAGCTGCTAAGTCCACAACTTCTTTCGTCATCCTTTTCTTGCATTGGCGTTATTGACTCTTTCTTGTTTGCAGATACAAGGCGTTCGACAAGGCGGAGGGCATCGAGGTGGCATGGAACCAGGTGCAGGTGCGCGACGTGTTCCAGTCGCACGAGGAGCTCGAACGCCTCTACTCCGAGGTGCATCTGCTCAAGACCCTTCGACATAAGAACATTATCAAGTTTTATGACTCGTGGGTGGACGCCCGCAACAAGAACGTCAATTTCATCACGGAGGTCTTCTCGTCCGGCACGCTCAGACAGTACGCGCTTTCCCCTTTCCACTCTCTCGCTCTTTCCATCTCTCCATCCCCTCCCCCCCCCTTCCCTCCCTCGCCGCTCCGTCGGCATCTGCATCCTTCTATCTCTCCATTCCGCCTGCTTTTTCGTGTTTCGGTCGCGTGCTAAGCGTCGGTTTTCTGCCTCTTGAAGAATGTCTGTTGCTTGAAGGTGATTGACGGCACGATTCGTCGCCATTAGCATTGTGCAGTTCACGTTTGCACTGCTCGCTACTCACCCTTGACCGACCCTCCCTTCCCTCCCACCCCCGCGCTCCACTCCCGCGGCTTCCCCCACCCGCTGGCGCCCTCTCCCCCCCTCCTTCCGTCCCTACCCCACCTCCCGCACGCGCCTCCCCTCCCCGCCTCCCTCCCGCGCGCGCGTGTCCGCTCGTGGGGCGGCAGGTTCCGGCAGCGGCACCGGCAGTGCGACCTGCGCGCGATCAAGAACTGGTCGCGGCAGGTTCTGCGCGGGCTGTTCTACCTGCACTCGCACGACCCGCCCATCATCCACCGCGACCTCAAGTGTGACAACATCTTCATCAACGGTAACCAGGGCGAGGTCAAGATCGGCGACCTCGGGCTCGCCGCCATCCTGCACCATCGCGACGCCGCGCATAGTGTTATTGGTAGGTTGCAGGGAAGGGAGTCGACGGTGGTGGTTTAGAGGGCCAATGGGTGGGTGGGTGGGTGGGTGGGTGGGCTAGAGGGAGAGAGAGTGGGGAAGAGGACGCGCAATGAGGGCAGGAGCGAGGTGAGAGAGAGAGGTTGCGTGGGGCATTGCGTGTAGGTAAGATGAACAGCACTAGGAGGTGAAGGGAAGCGACCCACGGGTGGTGGTGTGGTATGGTCATGGGGACGTGGAATGTGGGATTGCAAGGGCGTGGAGCCCCCAAGATGCTTTTCAATGTGAGACTGTGTTTTCACTGTTGTTCACCCTTCACACTCCCTTCCAGCCCCCTCCTCTCTCTCGTGTTTTTCAGTCCCCTTCTTCCCAGCCCCCCTTAACCCTCAACCTACTGCTCGCTCCGCACTCCCCCCCTCATTCCCGACCTTCCGCGTCTCCCACTCCCCCCCACCCCCTCTCCTCTCCTCTCCCCCAGGCACTCCCGAGTTCATGGCGCCGGAGCTGTACGAGGAGGAGTACAACGAGCTGGTGGACATATACGCGTCAAGCGTGCTGCCACTCCATTCCCAACCCTGACCCCCACGCTACCGTTGACTTGGCACCGCCTTCCCCTTGCTTCCGTCCCCTGGTCTCCCACCTCCCCACTCCCCCCTCCTCCCCCAGGCACGCCGGAGTTCATGGCGCCGGAGCTGTACGAGGAGGAATGCAACGAGCTGGTGGACATATACGCGTTCGGCATGTGCTGATGCCAGTCCCCCTGCGCCTCACCCTACCGTTGACTTGACTCGACACCGCTTTCCCCTGGCTCCCCCCCTCTCCCCCACACGCCAGGCACGCCGGAGTTCATGGCGCCGGAGCTGTACGAGGAGGAGTACAACGAGCTGGTGGACATATACGCGTTCGGCATGTGCGTGCTTGAGATGATCACGCTCGAATACCCCTACAGCGAGTGCACCAACGCCGCGCAGGTCTACAAGAAGGTCTCCGAGGTGCGTATTGACGGTGATGATGGGTGACCGGGGGTGATGTGATGACGGGGTGATGTGGGGTGATGATGGGTGGTGTGGGTTGGTGTGTTGGTAGGGTGTCTGCGGGTTGCGTCCAGTGCGCCTTGCTTTCCCCTGGCGATTTTCTTGTTCTTCTCTCTGCTTTCTCCCTCATCCCACCTACCGTACTCCTCTCCCTTCCCGCGTCCCGTCCTTCCTCTCAGTCTCACTCAATCACTCCCGCCACTCACAGTCTCGCCCCTCCACACGCCCTCCCCCGCCCTCCGCCCTCCGCCCTGCGCGACCAGGGCAAAAAGCCGCTGGCACTGCAGCGCATTCCGGACGAGGGCATACGCGAGTTTGTAGAGATGTGTCTGGCGGACGCCTCCCGCCGCCTGCCCGCGCGCGACCTGCTGCGCCACCCCTTCCTCGCGGAAGGCTCTGGGTCGCTGCAGCAGACCCCTTTCGCGAGCGCCGCCGACCGCGCATCCCGCCCCCCCCCCGCGGAGGGCGGAGCGGGAAGAAGGAGCGGGAGGAGCGCGGGGAGCAGAGGCGGAAGATGGGGGGAGAGTGGGGGGAACGCGGGGGGAGGTGGAGGGGGCAGGGGGATGGGGATGGGGTGGTTGGGGGGTGATGAGCTGGTCAGTTTCAGGGGGGGTGAGGGCGCGCGCGGGGGGAGGGGCGGGGGACGGGGAGGGGGAGGGGAAAGGGCTGGGGGCGGGGGAAAAGGGGAAGAGTCATGGGTGTGGGACACGAATCTAGAGGTGCCTAAGGCGGTTGGGGCGTGGGTGAAGCAGGGCGGGGAGGAGGGGGATGCGGAGGAGGAGGTGGGCAGCAAACGCGCAGGATGGTCGGAGATTGTGGGGTTGATGGCGGAGACGTTGCAGCAGCAGGAGTGGGGGGCGGGGGGCAGCGAGGAAGGGGAAGCGGAGAAGGGGGTTGGTGAGAGGAGAGATGGGGGGAGTGGGGGGGAGGAGGACAATGAAGGCGTTGAGAGGGAGGGGGGAGAGGAGGGGGAGGGGGAAGGGGATGGGAGGGGGAGTGGTAATAGGAGCGGGGAGCATGAGACAGAAAGCGGGACGGACAGAGAGTGTGGTGGAGGGGAGGGGCGTGGGGAGGAGGAGGGGTTGGCGAGTGTGGAGTCGGATGTTGATTTGGAAGGGGGGAGTGCAGCAAGCAGCAGGAGGGCCGCACGGTGTGCATTCGCTTGCGACGCGCAGATGGCAAAGGTAGAGAGCCACAGAGCGATGCGTTAGGGAGCGAGCTAACTGCTTTAGGTTCAGTGGTTGGCTGGTTGGCTGGTTGGCTGGTTGGCTGGTTGGCTGGTTGGTAGGTTGGTAGATTGGTAGGTTGGTTGATTGGTAGGTAGGGGGATTGGTAGGTAGGGGGATTGGTAGGTAGGGGGATTGGTAGGTAGGGGGATTGGTCGGTAGGGGGATTGGTCGGTAGGGGGATTGGTCGGTAGGGGGATTGGTCGGTAGGGGATTGGTAGGTAGGGGGATTGGTAGGTAGGGGTATTGGTAGGTAGGGGGATTGGTAGGTAGGGGGATTGGTCGGTAGGGGGATTGGTCGGTAGGGGGATTGGTCGGTAGGGGGGGGGGGGGGATTGGTCGGTATGGGGATTGGTCGGTAGGGGGATTGGTCGGTAGGGGGATTGGTCGGTAGGGGGATTGGTCGGTAGGGGGATTGGTAGGTAGGGGGATTGGTAGGTAGGGGGATTGGTCGGTAGGGGGATTGGTCGGTAGGGGGATTGGTCGGTAGGGGGATTGGTCGGTAGGGGGATTGGTCGGTAGGGGGATTGGTCGGTAGGGGGATTGGTCGGTAGGGGGATTGGTAGGTAGGGGGATTGGTAGGTAGGGGGATTGGTCGCCCTTCGTAATGCATGGCCCTTTGCATGAAAAAAATAAAGATGCGCACAGAAACCAGGGCTGGTATACGTCACGTGCTAGTTTGCCTTGTTCCTTTTTTTCTTACTTGGTAACTTATTTTCTCACCATCCCCACCTCTTCCCCCTCCCCCGCTTCCTCCGCCTGCGCCTCCCCCTCCTCCTCCTCCTCCTCCTCCTCCTCCTCCTCCTCCTCCTCCTCCTCCTCCTCCTCCTCCTCCTCCTCCTCCTCCTCCTCCTCCTCCTCCTCCTCCTCCTCCTCCTCCTCCTCCTCCTCCTCCTCCTCCTCCTCCTCCTCTCTCCCGTTCCCCTGTGCCAGGGCGCATGCACGTGATTCAGTTTCCCTTTGACACTTCGCGAGACTCAGCGTTCAGTGTGGCATGCGAGATGGTGGACGCCCTAGGCCTGCCCGACTCCGCCCTCGCATCCGTCGCCGATGAAATTGACGCCCAGCTCCTTGCCCTCGTGCCCGCCCATGCTGCTGCTGCTGCTGCTGCTGCTGCTGCGACCGCCGCTGACTTGGTTGTGGCTTCTAGCTGTGGCGGTGGCGGTGGTGTTGGTGTGGGGGGGGTTGCTGATGGGGATTCTGATGGTGGGATGGTGTCTGGGGTTGCAGAGGAGGGGTCGGAGGGGAGTGAGACGGAGGAGGAGGAGGAATGGGCGGGGATAAGCGGAAGTGCATATGAGGAAGAGTATGAGGAGAGGGAGGAGAGTGCGTTGGAAAGTGAAAAGGGCGGAGAGGAGGGTGAGAAGACGGCTGGTGTGAGCAGTGGTGGGGAGGAGGTGATGGAGGAAGCAGTGGAGGGAGGAGTAGAGGGATGGAGAGAGGGAGGAGGAGAAGAGGGAGAGGGAGAGAGGAAGGGAGAGGCAGGGGAAGAAGAAGGGGGAGAGGTAGGGGAAGAAGTTGGGGCGTCTGAAATAGGCAAGGCAGAGGATAATCGTAGCAGTGTGGAGCACGTGGAGCAAGAGACAGAACAGCATGCTGACGCTGCGAAGGAGGAGGAGGAAGAAGCCTGGGAGGGGGAAACGGAGGAGATGGAGGAGGAGGTAGAGGTGGGGGGGCAGGCGGAGGAGCAGGTGGGAGGAGAGGAGGCGCGGGAGGAGGAGCAGGAAGGGGTGGAGATCGGCGAGGGGTCAGGGTTGCTGGCTGTAACGCTCAGTGATCTGTGTGTCCCAACCAGCGTATCAGCCAGTGGGAGGCGACGTCCTGTACAAGTAGGGTGGGATGGAAGCCCTGAGGGCCTGGTGGCACTCGGAGGAGGGGGAGGAGGAGTGCGAGGGGGGCGAGGAGGAGGAGGAGGAGGAGGGGTGGGAGCAGGAGGTTTGACTTCGCCGTCCCACGGGCCGACGATCATGGCTCGTCTGGCGTCTAAGATGTTCCCTCTTAGCCTCGCTAAGCTTGCCTCGTCCAAGCGCCACCACCTCCCCCCCAGCAGCAGCAAGCCGATCCGCGGAAACAGCATCACCTTTGGCGTGGGCACGCACGTGGGGCAGCGGCTGGGAGCGGTGCCGAGGGGTGTGTCGCGGTTGTTAGGGATGGACGGAGCAGTGGATGTGGATGAGCTACAGGTGCATGGGCGGTTTGTGTCGTTCCGATCGCCCACGGGAGATAGCTCTAGGAGCTCCATTGCATCAGCTTCCTCGCAGTCTGCCCCTCCGTCTGCTGCTGCTGCTGCTGCTGCTGCTGCTGCTGCTGCTGCTGCTGCTGCTGCTGCTGCGGACTGGGGTGTGGAGGAGGGGGGCGGTGTTCTGGACAGTGGTGGTGGTGGGGGGGGGGGGGTGCACGTGGCAGTGATGCACTGTCTGTTATTGAGAGTGAGGAGGACGGGCTGTCAGGAGGTGGGTCTATGGAGACCAGGCGTGCAGTGGAAGGAGCAGATCGGGGTGCGACTGCTAACGTCCATCCTACAGGTGCTTCTGTTGGTGCTGCTGCTGATGGCACGGTCATGCCCGGATACAGTCACGGCGGTGAGCTGGCACGACTGCCATCCCTGCCGTCAGTAAATAAGGCCCCGTACCAGTCGCCCATGATGCGCAGCCTTAGTGTGGGCATGGGCAGTCTCGTGCATGCTGCAGCAGCGGCAGAGCATGCGGTAGGGAAGGGAGAAGATGGGCAAGGCGAGTGGGGTGAGGTTGTTGGGCCGGAAGGGAGGGCGTTTGGGTGGAGTGGGGGGGGGTCCAGGTTCGGCGAATCTCCACGTGGTAGTCTGGGGAGTGGGAGAGGGGAGGAGGGAGAGGGTGGTGAGGCAAGGAGGAAGGCGATGATGGGTGGGGTGGGGTGGGAGGGAGTGGAGAAGGCGGAGAAGGGTTGTGAGAGGGGTGCTGGGAGCAGGGGGGAGAGGGGGAGGAGATGGGTGGTTCTGACAGAGCAAGAGGCGGGTCTGGTTGCAGAAATGGAGGGGGAGATTGCAGCAGTTAGGGAGAGGTATGAGCCACGGATAGCACAGGTGCGTGCAGAGATCCATGGTCTGTTTGTGCAAGGGAGCGAGGGTGGGGACTGGGGAGGGGGGGAAGAGGCGGGGAAGGGATCGATTAAGGAGAGAGGGGGTGAAGTAAGGGGAGATGGGGTTGGGTTTGTGGGTGGAGACAGGGGGAAGGTGGAGGATGGTGATGGTATTGTCAAGCGGTTGGTGAGGGTTGCGGATGTGCAAGGCAGAGAAGGTGGTGATGTAGGTGTGGAGGAGGGAGACGGTGCGACATGCAAGGATGGGGCATGCCACAGTGGTAGTAGTACTGTGGCGCCCCACTCACCTGGGACTGGCTTGCCAAACCTCCCCACAGCTTCCCTTGTTGACGCCCCTGTGAAGGCTTCTACTGCCGCGGCCTCCCTCACGCCTGGTACAACTCTCCCAGCTGCTGCTCCTGCAGTGGCTCCGCCTGCACCTGTGCTTGCTACACCTGCTGCTGCTGCTGCTGCTGCTACAGCCGTGTCGTCCTCAGCCACAGCTGTTGCATCCGCAGCTGCAGCCGTTCCATTATCTGCCACGTCATGTGTGCCTCCCTTGCCTGCATCATCACGCTCGCCTTCTCGTCCCGTCTGCCCTCCGATCACCATTGGGACTAGTGCTGCTGCTGCTCCTCCCCTTTCTCGGCCCGGCGAGAGGTTCGGAGCCCTGGAGGAAGAGGATCTTGATAGTGGTGATTCCAACAGTGGTAGCAGCAGCGGCAGCAGCGGCAGCGGCGGCTGCAACAGCAGAAGCAGGTTTGGAGCGGCAGATAGGGCAGGAAGGGGCTTGGATGGAGCAAGAGTAGCACCAGGTTCAAGGGCTGCCGCAGTAGCCGTAGCAGCTGCAGGCAGGGACGCAGCAGCGTCAGCATCAGGATCAAGATCACCATCAGTGTCAGTGTCAGGGCCGCTGACTCGAACCGGCTCTCCTCCTGGCAACTCCAGAAGCAGCAGCATTCCCGGCACGGGCCGCAGTGCGTATGGAGTGCTGAATGGTGAAATCAGTAACGAGGCTCAGAGCAACAGCAGCAGCAGCAGCAGCAGGGGCAGCAGGCCGGGAGATGGTGGAGCGGTCTATTGCCCTTATGGAGGCCAGCATTCTGGAAAGGCTGCCCAGCAGCGGTAAGCTCGCTGTGGGCCCTGCTGCTCTCTCTTCTCCTAGTAGCTCTCAGCGGCCTGCTGCTGTGAGGGTTGGCGGCGCTGGTGGCACTGGAGTTGTTGCTAAGGAGGGAGGCGTGGGTGCAGGTGTGGGTGTGGTAGGGTTGGGCAAAGGTGGTCCTGGTCTGGCCACCATACGACAATCAGCGAGAGCACAGTCGCCCAGCTATGCCTGCTCGTGAGTGACTGCGTGCGTACCCCATTTCTGCTGCATTTCCGTGCTGTCTTCTACGTGATAGCTTTGCATGTACAGTGCTAGTTTTCCGCCGTGTTGACTACCGTAGGTTGGCGTAGTTCCAGCATTCTAGAAATGGTTATTCTTTCATGTTAAAGTATGTGAATCGGTGAAGAGTTGCATAGTTAAGATAGTTATACGTGGACGTCAGCTCCTACAGAATGTACGGGTTTCCCTGTGCTCGAAGGCTGAATGACAGTGTAACCTAAAAAAAAGCCTGGAAAATCAGTGTCACTATTTGGAAAAGGCTGATAGATCAGTCTCCTTCAACATAAAAGCCTGTTACCGTACTAATAAAAATCCTTAATTAAAATGTACATCACATGCAGCCTTCTAGAACCGTTGCAAGTTTCCCTGGAGCTCAAGAATCATCATCTGAGGGTACATTCCGCGCTGGACATTGTCTCAAAGAAAGTGTCAAAATCGAGTGTACCGCTCCGAACCGAACTAAACCAGAGACGCGAAAATTTCGACAATGTTTGAAACTAGGGTGTAATTCGGTGTAGAATCGATTCAGACACTTTCGATTGGGACAGTGTCCGGCGCGGAATGTACCGTCATACCCCGGATAGAAGCGCCCCTGGGGTTGTAATAAAACACTGTTTTTTAGGGGGTGCGCTTATAATTGAGGAAATTTATAAGCGCCGGCGTTTATATAACGGCAAAATGAAATTAAGTTATATTTGAACACGAAACTGTAGATCTCGTTCTTCAAATTGTAATCGAGTCGAAAATATATGGGGTCGCGAATCTGATTCTCGCGCAACTTGGCAGGGATTGATTCCCTGCCAACACTTGCTTACTAAGCGACAGCGCGTGCTGACTAGACGCGCAGCAAGCGCGATGTGAGTGGGAAAGTGGAACTGCACTTCGCTTCCCTGGTAAGGTGAAATTCGTTTCTGTATGTCGACTGATTTTCAGATAATATTCGACATGTCAGAATCTAGCATCAGGAATGGATGAACTAACAGGATGCAGGAGTACAAGTAGTAAACCCTAATTGGATTGTACCCCATATGGGCTACCCCACTACAGCCTAAACAATATGCAGCACATATAGTTTGACACACCCCCATAGGCAAAGTGGGGGAGAACAAGGGGTCACACGACCAGTCAAGAGAAGCAAAACAAGCTCAGGGTGGATCACAACGTCACCACGCATTCCGAGCACAAGCAAAAGGCCACAGGGCCAGTTCACATGCAGAGATATATATGCAGCAATAACAGTACAGTGATGGCTACCTAGCAAGAGCCAGCATGCAGGTATATATATAGATCACAGTACAAGCAGAGACTACAGCAAGTGTGGAAACGTAGGCACAAGGCCCAACAGAGTACAAAAGCGCTGATGATCACCAGACGGAAGTGCCTTGGTGAATATATCAGCAGTGTTGGCCCGAGTGGCCACGTGGCGAAGACGAAGCTGGCCTCGCTGCTGCAACTCTCGAGCCAGGAAGTAACGCAGAGCAATGTGCTTCGTTCTGTGCTCCAGTCTGTGCTCCTCACACAAGGCAATGGCGGCCTTGTTGTCGACGTACAGCACTGGAGGAGAACGAGGCTGCTCTCCCAAGTCAGTCAGCAGGTAGGTGAGCCAGCGTAACTCCTGTGCAGCCATGGCAGTGGCGTAGATCTCAGCCTCACAACTGGAGCTGAGAACTGAAGACGAACGTGTAGAACGCCACGAAACTGAACCAGAGCCAAGGCTGAAGGTGTAACCCTGTGACGACCGCTGAGTAGCCTGGTCGTCAACCCAAGAAGCGTCTGAGTGTCCAGTGAGGACAACTGGGCTCGTCCCTCCAAGCACTAGCCCCATGCCTGATGTGCTGCACAAGTAGCGCAGTACCCTCTTAGCAGCAGCCATGTGCTTAGGTCGGTGCCGACCAGGAGCCACGTAGCGAGCCAGAAGACCAAGAGGGTACGCGAGGTCAGGTCGAGTGCAAGTCATCAGGTACATGAGGCAGCCGACTAGCTCTGGGTAAGAACCACTCGGCTCTACGGACTCGTCCGAAGGTGGAGCTGAGAGCGTGTGACCTGTAGCCAGAGGAGTGGCCTGTGCTGAAGACCAGGTGAAGCCGAAGCGCTGAAGGACCTGCTGCACCATGTGTGACTGAGTCAAGGTGATGGTGCGACGTGCTCTGTCTCGGGTGATCTGCAAGCCAAGGTAGCTGCGCAGCTCACCCAAGTTTGTGCACGTGTGTCTCTTCTGCATCTCCGACTTCACGTGGGCGAGAGCCTCAGTGTCAGCAGTGGCAAAAACCAAGTCGTCGACGTACACGAGGATGTAGAACGGCGGCAGGGAAGTGTCGGTGCGCAGAAACAGCGACGGGTCCGCAGTAGAAGGCGCAAACCCAAGAGCCGCAAGCGTAGTCCTCAGTGTGTCGTGCCACTCACGTGGCGCCTGGCGGAGACCGTAGACCGGCCGCCGGAGGCTCCACTGGGTACCAGGAGGGAACGACCCAGTGAAGCCCGGGGGGCGGCGCAGCCAGATCTCCTCGTGCAGGCTACCCTGCAAGAAAGCTGTGCTGAAGTCAAGAGAGTGAAGCTCGTAGTCACGGTGAGCAGCAACGTGCAGCAGCACCCGAAGAGTGGTCATCTTCGGGGTGGGGGAGAAGGTCTGGAAGAAGTCAACTCCCTCTCGCTGACTGAAGCCTCGAGCCACGTAACGCGCCTTGAAGACAGGCGGAGAACCCGGCGGCCGCTTCACCCTGAAAATCCACATACCACTGACGATGTTCGCCCCAGGTGGAGGAACCTCGTCAACGTAGGTGCCTGTGGACTTCCAGGAAGCCATCTCTGCGTCCATGGCTGCCTACCACTGAGAGGAGTAGGGACCCTCTATCGCCTCTGCGTAAGAGCGCGGAGTCGGGATGTCTGGTGCATCCGGGTCTCCCTCAGGGGCAAGTAGCGAGGACACAAGATGAGGTAAAGCAGCAGCAAGACACTGGAACTCCTCTTGCCTGTCCTCAAGGACGTCCGTGCTAAGAGCACACTCACCCCCGACTGACGGAGGACAGACAGACTCAGACTCAGAAACAAGACTAGCGGCGTAGTCTAGACGACAGGCAGCAGCAAAGTCAACAAGCTCAGCGACCAAGGCAGACGCAGCAGTAGACTCAAACGACGGGTCAGTGACAACAGTGGCTGGGAGACGCGTGATAGTAGGGTGCTCAGTACGAAACCGGTCAGACTCAGGGTCCGGAACGGCAGGCAGAGAGGACGCAGGGGGAGACGGCAGAGGAACAGGCTGCGGAGCAGAGG